AGGTCCTTTACAGTACAGACTGATTACTGGCCGCAGGAGGAGTCCCATAATAATGAGTCTGAAAGAAGTCTCTTCTGCTCAGCGAAGCTGCATTTATTTGATGAACAATACTGTAAAAAATGTGAAATATTATTCTAATTTAAAACAGCTGTGTTCTATGTGAGTATCTGTTAAACTGTAATTTATTTCTGTGATGCACAGCTGTATTTTCAGCATCATTACTCCAGTCTTCAGTGTCACATGATCTTCAGAAATCAGTATAATATGCTGATCTGCTGCTCGAGAAACATTTCTGATTATTATCAATGTTGAAAACAGTCGTGCTGCACAATATTTTTGTGGAAACTGTGATACAGTTTATTTTTCAGGATTCACAGATGATTAGAAAGTTTAAAAAAACAGCATTTATTTGAAATAGAAATCTTTTGTAACATAAATGTCTTTACTGTCACTTTTGATGAATAAAAGTATTGATTTCTTTGAGTTCACTGGTTGTTTTCATTCTTTCATGGAAAGCATCAGTGACTCAAAGGCCCCCTGCTGTCCAACACAATATACTTTAGGAGCCCATATGCACGAAGATATCTGCTCTGGTTTTACATTTTTCATTAATAGAATCTTTGAGAATTAATGCATTAAATTAAATAACCAAGATTTAATTATTCAAAAATATTCACAATTCTAATTCCAAGTGTTCCTCAATAAAAACAGTAGTCTATTAAAGACAAATAAATAAATACAGGAAGCATAGCAAAACAAACACACTGTCAAAAGAGCAAAACATTTGCCAATTACAGTAATAATAATAAAGTAAATATAAATACACAAAAAAGTAATTTTTTAATTAAAATTATTTAATAAAATTAATTAATCACGTTACCAAAACAGGACAAACTTATTAAATTAAATTATTATTTAATTATTGTTTATTACATTTTATATAATTTAGTAAATAATCATTTTTATATTTTCATAATATATACAAAATGACAAATTACATAATAAAAAATATGAATTATTAAATTAAACTATATAAGTGATATTATTTAAATTATTATGTAATCATTATTTATTACATTTAATATATTTATTAAATAAAATATATAAAAATGTCAAATTACAATAAAATTTATATATATGGAAATATATATAATGAATATTATTTTAACTTGCATTCATTTAGCGAAGGTTTTCCTTGAGCGTTTCGATCAAAGGAGCAGAAACATCACCCGTTAATAACAATGGATGCAGACGGGCCCCTGTGCTGGAGGATGGGGCCTCCAGTGCATTATGCTGAAGGAGAGCCGGATCAGATCCTCCATTGTGTGTTTGCTTTCAGAAGGAGACGCGGCTCTTTGATTCATTCGGGACTGAAACAACAACGGACGCTCAGGGGCCTAAATGAGCACATACACATACGAACAAACAAGGGCCCATGTGTTCAAGTCATGGACAGGAACTCTATACCCACAATCCCAGACAACAATACACACACACACACACACACACACACACACACACTGCTGTAGGGCTTCAGGGGGTCCAGCGCTTCTGGGGTTAATTTAGGGAAGAATTTCCCGGCATTCACAAAAACAATGATGGGAACGCCAAGCTAGTATGTAAAGACAAATGTTCCCACAAAAATACCCACTTTCCCACAATGTTTGCAAAAGGATAAAATAGTAAAGATACAATGTTTTGATGCTTGATCAAAGAATCAGTGAATCACTTTAATGATTCTTTTGGACAGAACAGATGCCCAGCTAATGGTGAATGCTCTCAGAAGTTTCTCTCAAAGTAATGAACAAACATTTATCCAGTAACATTAATATAAAACACTATTTATACATTGTTCATGAAAAGTTTTTTCTGAAACGTTTTAGTTTAGGTTAGTTCATCTAACATTTTTTAAATGTAACTACTACTGGTTTCAGAACGTTTAAAGAACATTTAAATATAACATTCCCATATAGTTCACAAAATTATGAAACGGAATGTTCCCTTAATGTTTTCTACAACGTTCATAAAACCAAGAAAAATGTTTTTAAAACATTTTAGACACTTTGACAAATGAGAAAGTTTCCAGAAATAATGCTTTCATCACTTAATGCAAACGTTAGCAAAATGTTCTCAGAACACATTTTTGTTAGCTGGGTAATTAATAAATTAATAATTAATAACGAATTATAAAACTACTATAAATCTTGGCTGTGTGAATGTTTATTGTGTTGCAGAAATGCAAACTGTATTTTTGCAGTGCTCTGTATCATTATATTACACAGTACACTCACATAAAGTGATAGCAAAACCGCTTGATTGTTTGTCATTACAAAACGTAAGTGTATTATCATCCAGCTCTAATATGATAAATGCAACAATAAGGCATGTAGATATTAAGACGTGATAAAACACTAACATCATGATTTTCTGTAAAGCTGCTCTGAAACAGTGTGTATTATGAAAAGCACTGTATACATAAATGTGAATGCCTGACTGACATTGGATGAATCTCAGCACTGAACTTGAAATTATCGATAAATGGACCTGTTTTATCATGCAGTGAAACATCAGAATCAGCCCTGAGACTTTCATAGGATGTGGGTTCCCGTCTACACACATACACACACACACACACACACACACACACTCTCACACTCAAACTCACACTCACACTCACTCTCACACTCAAACTCACACTCACACTCACACACACACACACACACACACACTCTCACACTCACACACAACACACACACACACACACACACACACTCAAACTCACACTCACACTCACACACACTCAAACTCACACTCACTCAAACTCACACTCACACTCTCTCACACACACACACGCACACACTCACACACACACACACACACTCACACAAACACTCTCACTCTCTCACACACTCACACTCACACACACACTCACACACATACTCTCACACTCACACTCACACACACTCAAACTCACACACACTCACACTCTCACACACACACACACACACACACACACACACACACACACACACCCACACACACACA